GAATTAATTAAGTATCGAAGTACACACGCTGAGAACTAGTCCCGACATTCTATAAGTATCGAAGGCTAGTTCACAAGGCAAGATACTGGTTTGCAATTGAAAGGTCGGTTCGTGAGGTGTAGAACACATCAGATAAACAAGGATAAGTATTTTTATGTGAAAATCATACTGATTATTCATTATTATTTAAAATATTATATTGATAAAGAGAAAAGTAAAACGAGGGAAACATGTGAATAGTGTATTTTCGAATTACAACTTAAAGAAGGAATCTTAGACATGGCCACGGGCGGCCCGGCCCGTGGCCCGACTCGTGACCCGGTACCGGCCCGGCCCGGCCCGGTACCGGTACCGGCATGAACAGTGCCGGGTTCGAGAACCGGACCGCGGCCAATCCGGTCCGGTTAAGGGTCACGGGTTTTTTTTGTTGGTCCCGCCGGGCTGGGCCGGGCCGGGTCATTTCTTTTGCTTTTTTTAAGGGCCGTACCGGCCCGTGAACCGCCGGGCCGGTGAACCGGCGGTTCGGGCCGGTTCTACGAACCGGCCCTTAGTTCCAACCGGGCCGGTCCCGGTTCCACCATTTCCGGACCCGTGGCCCGGCGGGCCGGGCCGGGCCGGGCCCGGACCCGGCACCTGGCCACGTCTAAGGAATCTCTGTGCAACTTAAATAAATAAAACAGATTAGGTATTTCAATAGCCAATACAATCTTCTCCGCTTGTTCGATTAGTTTACTAGTTTGTCCAGCCCAAATCAGATTGCTCAGAGAGGAAATACGCATTGGGCCCATCTTCTACTCCATTAAGCCCAGGAAGAAATAGGCTTACATATTTCATTATTACTTCACTTTTTAATTTTTTATTTTTATTGCATATTTTCTGATTTATTTCTTAATTTAATTACATATTTCATATTATTAATCAAAATATATGTAAATTATATGTTTTTATCTATTAATTTCGTTTTAAAAAACAAAACTTATTAAACTTTTGCATAAATATAACTTATATTGATTAATTTCCTCATTTAAGTTAATTGTTAAATATAATAAATATTTTTACAATAAAGAAGTAAAATATCGACTATAAAAAATAATATTATGGTTGACATTTTATGTAAAAAAAAATAAAAAATTAGTCAGGCTTTAGAATGAGAAGTTAAATAAAACTAAGCTTTAAATTAAAAATAACCTAAAATAAATCTTCTATATATTGAGAATAAAATTCAATTCAACTTAGATTAATATAACTAAAAAATTGGGTCTTGTAATAAAATTTCCCCGATTTAAATTCTGCATGTATATTTGAGGTACAAAATGTTATGCTAGATTGGAAGTATTTTTACCTTTTATTTTATTTGATCTAGTTTTGAGAATAAAGTGAGTTAATTTTTTTTTAAAAAATGATTAAATGGAGTTTGAGTTGATTTTGGAATTTGTGTTTGGATATAGCTAAAATGGAATAATTAATGCTGATGTGATGTAAATATAGAAAGAATGATTAGTAGTTAAAAATATACTAGTACGTACCCCGTGCGATGCACGGAACATAGATATTAAATGAGTTATTTTAATAGCCTTGTCCGTTTAAATCTTAAAAGTAATAGTGTTATTATTTATTTTCTACCTCTTTTGATCAACGTTAAGTCTAAAAAATAATAAGGTTATAAGTTTTTTTTCATATCTTTTAACCAGCATTGTTTTTTAGCCAGAACTTAAATATGAGTATGTTAGGGCTAGCTTGTAAAATAATTAATATATTATCTCACTAAAATATTTATACTAATAAAACTTTAATTTCAGTATATAAATTTATCCCTTGATATAAGAAAAAAGGTAACAGTTTTATTTATTCTTGTTCATCATATAATATTTAATTATTATTTTATTATATAATAAAAAAGAATAGTGTTGAATAGTTTTTTTAACATAAAGATAATATTAAATAAATATAAATATCCATACAAATATACGAACCAAGTTTTTTTAATAGTTTTTTTATAAGTTTTACAAAAGTATATTATAATTTGTTAGTGTATTATTCAAAATCGTAATATTGATTTGTAGTTTTTAGAAACAGAATTTTGATTGTTTTTACTCACCCCATTTTATGGGATTTTTTTATGTCAATATAAGAAGAATTAAAAACAATATGTAAAATAGGAAACTTAATTAAAATTATAAATGCATTAATTACTAGTTGATAAAATTAGAAGTTCATTAATTAAAGTTGACTTTTCTACCTACTATATTTAGTAAATAGGTTTCCTTTTAATATAAGTATAGATAAGTGAGTAATGATTGTGTGATAATGAATTACTAGTACGTACCCCGTGCGATGCACGGAACATAGATATTAAATGAGTTATTTTAACAACCTTGTCCGTTTAAATCTTAAAAGTAATAGTGTTATTATCTATTTTCTACCTCATTTAATCAACGTTAAGTCAAAAAAACAATAAGGTTATAAATTTTTTTTCATATCTTTTAACCAGTATTGTTTTTTAGCCAAAACATTAAATATGAGTATGTTAGGGCTAGCTTGTAAAATACTTAATATATTATCTCACTAAAATATTTATACTAATAAAACTTTAATTTCAGTATATAAATTTATTCCTTGATATAAGAAAAAAGTAACAATTTTATTTATTCTTGTTCATCGTATAATATTTAATTATTATTTTATTATATAATAAAAAAGAATAGTGTTAAATAGTTTTTTTTAACACAAAGATAATATTAAAAAAATATAAATATCCATACAAATATACGAACCAAGTTTTTTTAATAGTTTTTTATAAGTTTTATAAAAAATATATTATAATTTGTTAGTGTATTATTCAAAATCGTAATATTGATTTTGTAGTTTTTAGAAACAGAATTTTGATTGTTTTTGCTCATCCCATTTTATAGAATTTTTTATGTCCTAAGAAGGATTAAAAACAATAAATAAAATAGGAAACTTGATTAAAATTATAAATGCATTAATTACTACTTGATAAAATTAGAAGTTCATTAATTTAAGTTGATTTTTCTACCTACTATTTTTAGTAAATAGGTTTCCTTTTAATATAAGTATAGATAGTGATAATATTAATGAGAGTTAAGTTGGTTTAAATTTGAATTGAATTTTGAGTTAAAAGTTTGTAATCAAACATGATTCGTCAAGGATAAACATTCGGCCAGCCAATACCACAAAAAACTTGTGTCCAGTCGTACATGATTGTTAGTCTGCAGATTGAGGGTAGGCCTGTAAACGAGTCGAGCCCAGTTTGAGCATATGGTGCTCGAGTTCAGCTCGTTAAGGCCTCGAGCTCGAGCCTTAACGAGCCGATCTCGAACTTTAACAAGCCGAATTATAAAAAAAATAACATAGAAATTCTTTTTTTGAACCTTATCGAGCCAAGCCGAGCTCGGCTCGTTTATCGAACGAGCTTCAAATGAGCTTGTACTCGGTTTGTTAAGGCCTCGAACTCAAGATATAATATTATGTAAATTTAAGAACTTTGCCCCCCTTAAATCTCACTCCCTTGAGAGTTTCACACCTGCACACCTATTAATACTATGTATGTAAAAGATATAATATTATGTAAATTTAAGCACTTTACCTCTTTAAAATATATATTAATGTAAATAAATCTCACTTCCTTGAGAGTTTCACACCTACACACCTACTTCTTTATTTTCTTTAATAAGTTATATAATATAATAGACTAAGTAAATAAAGTACTCTTTACACCGTTACATATATAATTAAAGCAAATATAATAAAAGATTACAATAAACAAAATCTGAGTTTCTGCACACAATTGATAAGGCGAGGAGTCGAGTGAAGAGGTAGACAAACGAAAAAGATTACATATTTGAGCATTTATTGGATAATTATATTTGTAAGTATTTTTATTTACATCCGTGTCTATGATATTATTTATTTGTTCTTTACTTTCTTTTGAGTCTTGAACAATTTAGGTTTAGGGTTTAATAATGTTGAATGTATGAATAATCTAGATTTTGATAATTCGGTCGGGAGTATGGAATTTTCAGGCATAGTTGATAGTTTGAACAACATTCGACTGTGTGACATTAGAATATCCATTTTAATTTGCTCTTTAAACTTAATAGTATGACAATGATACTCAAGACATATTATGTTCTATATCTTTTTTTTTTGAAAAAAAAATAAGACATTTATCAAATATTTCTCATCTTAATCAATGTCACTTGTTTGCAGAAGTATTCAATTGCTTGAGCCGGGACAAGTTTATGCATCAGTGCATTGCATCTGCTTCTTATGCAATATTTTCTTATTGCCTATTGCAAGAGAATAATTAATCATTCTTATAAAATTTTTTTTTTCTTAAATTCTAAAATTACAACTTTATGTCTTTATTATTAAATATATATCTTTATCGAAAAAATTTCGCCTAGACGAAGTCTAATTATTGCAACGCCAAAAAGAGTTGTCCAGACAAAAATCAAAGCACTTGGGTTGGGTGCCCCTAATTGGGTTCGTGGCCTCATTTTTAAAATAAAATAAAAATGTTAATACTTGTACAGATTAAAAACAAAAGGAGTTGACTTTTTTTTTTTCATTAAACATAGCACATAACGTGACATTTTCTGAAACCAAAATGCAAATTCAATATCTATAATTCGAATCATATTCTACAAATTCACAAAGCCAAAAATAATTTTAAAAATAATAAATAAATAAATTAATATACCAACCCGAATATAATATAATGAAAAGGAGGAAAATGAAATTCAATAGAATGGGAATCCATTGCCCATAGCTCGGGATTCGTTGCGATAGCCATAGATATCCCACCACGTGCTGTTGCATCAATCATCAAGATTCAAGAGCCCACACGACGCATCTCAGCCGTTGGATCATCATCCCCCATGTGGCGCATGACATGTCCACCGAATAATTCCCCCGTTTGCCACCTCATCACTGACTAAAATATTACCAGGTTGGCCAGCAAGCAGTAAAGTGATGCACTACGCGCTTGAAACGTTGTACCCCAACGACTCATGATAGTCTCTACACAGCTGTCCTAACAAGCCTTCCAACATTCCATCCTCCCAACCGTCCTTCATGGCGCGGTTCAATCTCCCAACAAACCCCGGCCCGGCCCGAACCTCGCAGTACCTCAAGAACTCCGCCACCTCCCTCGGGTCCTCGCGCGTCCAGCACGCACCATCGGCCGAGTCAAGCGGGCCCGGCATGGCCCGCGGCCCGCCCAATTCTCCCGCCAAAAGCTCGACAATGCCGTTGACTAGATTCATCGGCGCCCGGCCCCGGCCGTCCCATATCCAAACACGAGCGGCGCCTTTCCGCACCGCTCGGACCACTGCCCGGTCGTAATCGGGGCCTTCCATAACCGAGCGGCTTATTCGGACCACGAACTCGCCGGTGCCCGCGCGACGTTGGACGATGACGTCGTCGGTCAAATCGTGGCCGGTCAACTCCAAAACCACGTGCGAGACGGGTTTCTTGTCGTCATCGGGATAGAGAATGGCTTGGACGAAGTCGCTCGTCTTGACGAGAACACGCACGGCCTCGTCGTTCGACGCGTAGAAGAGTTGGAACCGTTTTCCGGCGACAGTGCCGTGGGCCCCGTTGACCACGGAGACGGCGTAGCCTTTGGAGGCTTCGTGGTTGGCCCACACGGAGACTATGCCGATGAAGGCCACGAACGAGAATCGTAAAGCGATGGTCGAGCTCGACTGGACGAGGTTGAGGTTGTCGGGAATCCGGTGGTCGGCTGGCGGAGTTGCGGCGGGGGTGGAGGGTGGGTGGAGGAGTGGTTGTAGGTGGGGGTGGTGTTCCTTCTTCTCCTCCTCCATACATGTAGTTTTATTCATTAGTTTTATTGGGGTGTGTAATTAGGATTGATCAAGGTTTTGGATATGGCACTAAATGGGGGAATAATGAGTGGATGACCAAAGGGGTGGAGGCCCCCACGACGAATTAAAAAAAAAAGGTTAGGATTGTGGCAATCCTTATCTGCTCTTTAGTACTATTTGGTTAACTGGTTTACTTCAAAGGGGACCGGTTGCAGCAGGTCATTTTAATTAGAATGTGGTGTGGTATGAGATTAATTGTTGGTCAATTTTGTGAAAGAAAGTACTCTACAATTTGTTTACAAGTGTGGATCCACGTTGAGAGAGTCATATGCTGACAAAAATCATCGAGATATATAGAAGACTTGCTTTTCCTTTAATGTCCGATCCAAGATAAAAGAAGTAAAGTCCAAGAATGTACTGGCTGAGAGCCTGATATCATAAAGGCTATGGACAGTTGGAAAGGTTATAAACTTCCTAGCGAGTAGAACTGCAAACAAGTCGAGCCGAGCTCGAGCTCGAGCTTAAGGTGTTCAAGCTAGAGCTCGAGCCGAGCCGAGCTGTAGCATGAAATCGAGCTCGAACTCGGCTCGTTAAGGTCTCGAGCTCGAGCCTTAACGAGCCGATCTCCAACTTTAACAAGCCGAATTAAAATAAAATTATATAAAAATTCTATTTTAGAGCCTTATCGAACCGAGCCAAGCTCGGCTCGTTAGCCAAATGAGCTTTAAATGAGCTCGAGCTCAGCTCATTAAGGCCTCGAACTCGAGCCGAGTTGGGCTCGTTTAATTTAATAGCACAGGGAGTATGTTACATAACTAGTGAACACTCATCTCTCTCTCTCTCTCTCTCTCTCTCTCTCTCTCTCTCTCTCTCTCTCTCTCTCTCTCTCTCTCTATATATATATATATATATGTATATATATATATATATATAATTACTAGTTGATGCATTTAATAAGACATTTAATAAAACCTATTTTCATTTTCCTACAAAAGAAGTTACATTTTTTTAATTAATTACTCACTAATCTGCTAAAACCGTTACACCTTAATATATATTTTTTATTATTTATTTTCTGGATCAGTTATTAAATTAATTCTAAATTTATTAGCAAAATATTCAAATGTGTAACGGCTAATGTTGGAACTTAAAGTTGATTGACACATTCAGAGTTGTAACCGCTATATTTGGTTGCATTGTTAGAAGAAAAAAATGATTGGCACATATTTTTTCTCTTCTAAAAATCAAAAACACCAATAATTTTTTTTATATTAATATATAAATTATTTTATTCATGGTACTAATGTAAATGTTGCGTAGTTAAAATAAAATTTAAATCTTAATTAATTTTGAATGATAAAAATAACTTAACAAAAAGTAATAATTTTTATATGATAGAAGTACATGTCTAATTAATAAATACAAACAAAAACGTGTTTTATATCTGTGTAAATGCACAAGATCAAATACTAGCATGGTAATAACCACTGACCATAGGCTTCTCTGGGTTCGAATAAACTATATATCAATCAAAATTAAATTAATATTGAATCGAATAAACTATATATCAATCAAAATTAAATTAATAGGGAAAGTGTCTAATATAGAATATAATAGAGTTATTTGGAAACTTTTCAAACCATTTCAAGCACCCGTTCACAATTTAAACAAATTGAAATTATGGAAACTATTCAAACCATTTCATACAAGAACCCGTTCACAATTTAAACAAAATAAATTCTCACACCCCTTCATTTGAGACGTGACCTTTATCAAAGATTGCCTCACTTAACTATATAAACACACTCACGGACACAAAAATAATTAATTAGTACTTTGAAAATATTCTTGCACATCATCAGTTAATTATATATCAAGAGCCTAGCTCAATTAATGGCGAGCCACCGGATTAATTATGTGTTGGCGGCAGTGTTGGCGGCAATGGTGGTGGCTGTGGCGGCCGAGAAAAACGCGAATTTGGAATGCATGAGAGAATGCTACTTCGACTGCACGCAAATAAAGATTTTCAGTGAGAGCGAATGCAAGAAAGAATGCGTGCTCGGGTGTGCGAGGTACTTCATGAGGAAAGCTGCCGAGGAAGATGACGATGATAACAACAAGTTCTTTCCTTTGTGGATTTAGAATATTATGATTAATTGTTTTATGATCTTATTACATATTAAGAAGATGGTTTTGTTTGTTTGTCTTTGTCTTTATATATTATGATTAACTATCACTATTACACTGCAATATCTGCTGATTAGTAATCAAGCTCAAGTTCATCTACACTCTTTCAACCGATTACAATTACCGAATATATCAGACAAAACGAGTAAAATCGAGCAATTTCCTTACAGTTCTTGAATAAAAACCGGCCCTTAGTTATATGTACAGTGGGACAAATACTAAAACGGCTACAGATGCTAATAGACAGCGGGAAGAAGGAAAGCGACTCGTGACGACTGCAGCCGAAGTCGTAGGCGTGTTTGGTCGACCGGCACCAAACACACGGGACCCACTCGAACTGCTTATATTCAATACCGATGAACTCGTGCTGCAAAATTTAGACATGAGTAGGCACAAGTTAGTCCCAATATTAATTAGTTGCCTTAAGCATTGTAGAAATATTAAGTTCTTACATAACAAACAACTTTATCATGAATTAATTAGCAGTATTCACCTAGTCATTGGATACTGACATGAATCATAACCTGCACAAATAGTAAATATACATCAAGAACAAAAATTGCAATTTTTTAAAACAGATGACAATAATTTTGTTCCATATATCTTACTTGGGTTGGTGCTTGTAATAACTGCAGCCCCACCGAAATTGCAGCTGGTCGGAATCGGGTTCATCTGGTAATAACTATTGAACGCGTAAGACGCGTGGTCCCGGACCGTGTTCGGGTAATAACAGCGGCCACCAGGCTGGACGGCCGAGCAGTCGGCCCCACCATGCCCGCACGCGTAGTCCAATGCAACTTGCAGTGCAGCCTGTGGCACGGACTGCATCGCAACGCACCAGCTCCCGACCGGGCGCGTGTTTGTTTGTAAAGGGATAGTCGAGGGATTATTCGGGTTCATCACCATAGGCTTCTCGGGGTTCGAAGAAATCGGGTTTATAACCTCGGTCGACGGGTTGACAGTTGGGACGGTCGTGATGGGGGTAGTTACGTCTTTTTTCTCGGCGGAGATCGACAAAGGGCCTTGCCATTTTTTGTATCAAGGTGCATTTTGCATGATAAGGATTGAAACAAATGTTAAGGGGGATATTTGTAATCTTGAAATGTAACAGGGGTTTTCTTGCAATTAGAAAAGATACAGGGGTATTTTGTGCAATTAATCACTGAAACTGAAAAAAAAAGGTGTTCTGTGATAGGCTAAATGATCTGCTTAGTGCATACAATACAGTTGAGACTATTAACCTTGACTTGAAACAGGGTAAAGTTAGTGTGATATAACATGTATCAAACATTATACAGACAAGTTAAGATAATGACAATGGACAAACAAATTGTAAGCCTACAAAACAAATGAAAAGGCAAAATGAAAGGACTATAGAGGCATGAACATCCTTATTAGGAAATTCTTTGCCAGTTAACTGACCATGGCTTGAAAATTCAAATACAATCAACTATAGAAATATGGGGAAATGATACTGTCCCGCGTCGGGATGGTACCGTAACGGGACCGTATCATTTCCCAGAAATAATGAACAACTACAAGCATTATGATGTAGAAGAAGTAGTAACAGATAGTCACCTGAACAGAATACAAGAGCAGCCAGGTGGTGAATAAACACAAGGCAACAAATGATTGTTCTTGTACTCATCTTCTTCTCAAGCTTGCAGTCCCTTCAAGTTTCAGTCAAGTTTGCCTTTTCTCTTCAACTTTGTTGGGTAACTCTTTAAAACAGAGAAAGAAAGGCAACAGATAAAACCATGTCAATCCAAAGAGACATGATTACACTTTGACAAACAGAGGACTTTGGGTCATTAAATATGTATAAATTACAAATAATTATGATTTGTGTGGGTCATGTAGAGAGAAAAAAAGAGTGGTAGTGTGTGTGTGTGTGTGTGTGTGTGTGTGTGTGTGTGGAGATTGAACAAAAAAATTAAATAAAGGGTGGTGGTGGGTAAATTAAAGTGGTGAAGGGATGAGAGGAGGAGAGGCAAAGGATTGGAATTAAAGTGTGTATATGTTGGCAATGATGACAAATTTGGTGTTTTTGCTTTTGGTCCTTCCTTTTTATGTTTATTATATGATTATTACAAATGACTTTTTCTATATCCATATCTTTATATATTGTTTTTTGTACCTAGGAGCCAAGATTTGGGAACTGATTACCATTATTTGATTTTACTATTTTTCTGGTTTGTTTTTATCTTGGGACCTTCAAAACAGTACATTTTCTTTTCTTTTATTTATTATTATTATTTTTTTTTTTTTAAAAAAAATTTGAGTTACAAATCCAGATCCAATTTGAGGGTAAATACTTCCACAGTTGGGGGAAGAGCTCCAATTTCAAGTTTTAAAACAAAAACTAATAAAAGCATTCATATCAAAAGGAAAACTGGCTGATGCAAAATTATTTTATTCCATCTTTGGAAAAAAAATGCACTCGAACCATATAAGCGTCAAAGTATTTACGTCGGGAACTTTTCTCTTCTTTTGTAGAAACTGGCTTCCAACTTACCGATTCAGATATATCCTCAACTTAATAAATGATACATATCCAGTATGTACAAATATATCTTTCTTTATCTTAAAAGTATATTTAATTGTATTAAAAATAAGAGAATATTAAAAATATAATATAACTTGGCCGATTCAACCAAACTGCACATCGGTTTTTAGACTAAAATTGAGTCTTCGATCGAAAATTTTAATAATTTTTTCTTTTTAAATATTTTCAGGTGGACCATAACATCCATTTTAGACTAAATTGATTGGTCTAGTTCAATATTTTCTTGTTAAATAATTTCAATCATTTTTTTTTTTTGTAAAAATATTTTCACACAGATCAAATCGATTAGATGAACCATCACACTGAATCAACCAGTTCAATGCGATTTCCATAAACATGATAAAATATATGGGAAATGCTACGGTCCCGTTATTGGACCATTTTGTCTAAGTTTGTAACGGAACCATGCCAGAGATAGTTGATCTAAAGATTACAATTCCCGACGGAATGGTTTCGACTCACGGAACCGTAGCATCTCATAAAATATATATATATACATATCGTACCAAGGAAGCAAATAAACGTTACATCATCGACCAATTGGTTTCAAATTATATGTCTAAGCACGTTGTACTTTTAATTAGTATTTCGAAATCACAACTGCACTTTAGTTAATAGGAAATTAAATGTTTCTTTTCATCAAAGCTAAAGTAAAGTGGCTTCTTGACTGTAGCGGGAATAAGAGATATATCTATACTATTATAAAAGAGTTAATGAATCTGTAAAAATATGTTTTACCTAAAATATCCTTACTTTATGATCTTTATAATGGTAAATTAGTAACTTAATATCCATCCTTCCTATCACAAATGATATGATTCCCGAAAAGCTTATGCTGGACTTTACAATTGAAATCATAGGCTATGGGGTAATGGGAACCAATTAAAAATCTGGGCCCAATTGACAGTGCTCGGTGAGCTTTCAGATTACCATTGAACATATCTTAGTGAACATAAATACATAATCAGAAATTGGAAAAAAGCGCATGTATATTTGGTACCTTTTTTTGTAATATATTTGCACTTGATAATTTAATATCAATAACATATAATTGCATTATAATAAATTTCTAAATATTATATAAAACAAGTAAAATTCAAAGGGAAGTACTACCCTCAATTGTACAACATACAATATTAAATATAAAATATTATTATATAAATTTGTTACAGTTCTAAATGTATGTTCTTTTCATATTATTAATTACATAACTACATGTCATAATAAAAAAAGTTGATATAACATAATTATATAATCTTTACATTAAAATAAATTTTTAATTATTATATAAAACAAGTAAAATTCAAAAGGAAGTACTACCTTCAATTGTACAACATACAATATTAAATATAAAATATTATAATATAAATTTGTTACAGTTCTAAATGTATGTTCTTTTCATATATATTATTAATTACATAACTACATGTCATAATAAACAAAGTTGATATAACATAATTATATAATCTTTACATGAAACAAATAACACGGTATATAAAACTACTCAAATTCCTTTTTCGGAAAAACGTGGTATCAAGTAGGACGGATGAGAAAAAAAATTTAACATGAAAAAAAAAATGAATTTTGCACATGAATTTTTGAACATAATAGCAAATATTGAAATATAAAAAGCATATTATTATTTACTTCTATTTTTAATTTACATTTAGATAAATTTCTAGGACTAAAATATTTGAGCATGCTAATAAATTGACTAGAGAAAATAATAATTCTAATATCAAATTTTATTTTATTATACTATGAATCTTTAAATCATGTACTAAATAATTAAGTTAAAAAATGTCTTTCATAAAGTAAAGTTTAACAACTATTTTCAATAATATTATTTTATCGAAAAAGTAACAAAAACTTATAAACCGAGAAATAATAATAAAATCTACTCTATAATCGAATAATGAATAACATGTAAAAAAAATTAAATACGAAGACATATTGTCAAATAGATGAATATTGATAGCTTGAGATATCTTTTATATGTGATATATTTATAACAGTAAAACTATAATAATAATGTTTAGTAAAAGAGATTATAATATAATTTATGGTAAAAGTATAATTATGCACAATAATAAATAAAATTTAGTTGACTAAAAGTTGAACGTAATTGCTAAATAAATTATAAAATATGTCAACTTGAATAGTGATCATAATCACATTTGATACGTGTTTCTATCATGATGAACTATATACAATATAGTGATATATTTATAGAGTTAGTAAAAAATAAATAACACATAAATATCTTTTATTCCATTAAATATAATTTCAAATACACAAATGTTTTTTTGATTGTCAATATCATAAACAAATTCTTTTTATTTATTTTTATTACCCATGAAAAATATACATGACCATGCTGTAAATTGAACATTGAGATTTATGATGTACAAAAATACAATATAAATAAAATATAAAATGGTAAAAGTTGCTTTATAATCGAATAATGAATAACATGTAAAAAATTAAATACGAAGAAATATTGTCAATTAGATGTTCTAAGAAATATTGTCAATTAGATGAACATTGATTGCTTGAGATATCTTTTATATTTGATATATTTATAATAGTAAAACTATAATAACAATGCTTAGTAAAAGAAATAAAAAGTGTAATTTATTGTAAAATTGTAAGTATGCATGATAACAAATGAAATTTAGTTGACTAAAAGTTGAACGTAACTGTCAAATAAATTAAAAAATATGTCAACTTTTAATAGAGATCATTATCACATTTGATATATGTTTCTATCATGATAAACTATATAAAATATAGTGATATATTTTATAAATTTAATATAATACATTTTATAATATAAAATAAATAAAACATAAATATCTTATATTCTATGAAATATTATTTCAAATACACAAATGAGTTTTGATTGTTAATATCTATCATAAACTAATTCTTTTTATTTTTTATTTTTTGTTCATCACCCATGAAAAATATACATGCCATAAATTGAACAATGAGATTCCTATGTACGAATATACAATATAAATATAATATAAAATGGTATTTAATAACTATTTTTACATATTTAGTGATTTATAATAATTATATTAGTTTATTTCTATATCATTTTAGTAAGTTTCAAAATTTCATGATTCTCAATAATTGGTTTTGATATATTAATAATCAGATTATCTTTTTAAATTTAAAAAATACGGTATATATTGCTTATTTAAAAGACACTTTAAATTATTCTTGTATTATCATTTATTGACGACTGAAATAATTATTGTTGAAGTACACAAATTCTTACTATATTTTTTCTAATTTCTATTTATGATAGGTGATTAATTATATAGTTTGAGAATTTGTTTTTCTATTATTCAATTAATAAAACACATATAAACTATAAATATAGTGTTTTGTTGTTTAAGTCATTTGAGCCAAATATTCAAAACAATAAAATCATTTGTATCCATATACTATACATAAATGGTATATAAACAATGACATAGTTGTTTTTGACAATAAAAAAATAGTAATAAATTGAGTATAAATTGCATACATTATCCGACTAATTAATACATCCTCCATTAGCTTCATAATTTTATGAATGGAGACTGTAACAAATATTTTAGTTTTTAATCAAGTATTTTGAAAATTGAACAATGATCTGGGTTGACTATTATCATTTCTTTTGGAGCTTCATAAAAATCAATAGAAAATAACATTATATGTTAGTTATTGATAGTTAAATTTTATTCATTTGTTGCTTTTGGAAAAGAGAATTGTTGTTTCAGTTCAAATCTATGTTTTTAAAGATCTTTTTGTGTTTGAAAAAAAAAATATTTATTCTTCAAAAGTGGTCATTTTTGGTTGTTGGTGGTGTAAGAAACAATTCTCATTTTTACTTAAGACAATTTATAAGTAATTTAAATTTTTCTACTTATCTATTTATTAAAAAAATATTAATAAAATAATTATGATGTTATTTTATAAATATATTAATTATAATAAATACATATTAAATAAAAGATCGATTATACACAATAAAAAAATTATAATAAAAAAAGTATATTTTTAACCAAAAAATGTGGTTTGTGTGTGAAACTAATTAAGGTTGTGTAATAATGTAAAAATGTGTTAAAAAAATTACTATATATACCCTAACATGTGTTTTAAATTTTAATAAATTTTCATATTAATAATCAAATACAACATACAAAAAAAATTAAATATATCAATGAAGTAGGCAGACCTAACGACTGAAACATTCTTATATTCTCAATAGGTATACTACACTCAATTGAATAGTCATACTTTAAAAATAAAAATAAGATATTTTATTGTATTCGTATATATTTTTATTAAAAAAGTAGGATGGATCAATCCGTCTAATAGCTATTTCGTCTCATACAAGAAATTTTGTGAATTAATATTTCAACTTAATAAGTATTTAATCAATGGATTTTATAATAAATTATCAATTAAATGAAATTACATCTAACATATGATAACATATGATATAAAAATACAAATTGAATGAAAAAAAAATATTTAGTAACACATATTAGACGAAATTTTGACCAAGTTTAGACGTCTATATATGTTTGTATATATGTTTAATTTGACAAAGTTTAAATATTACGGTTCATCTACATCACGCACTGGAGGGAATTTTAAACAAGTTATTCAATCGCAATATTACATGTGACGTAAAAACGAAATTATAGCTCATTATACATAATATGAAACTTTTAATTTAAATCAATTTATTTATTAAGTAAAAATAAAATATAATTTACCAAAATAATAATTTTGATGTTCTTGAAATATTTTTACGATTATTGAAATTTAAATGAGATTGTGTACCATATGTTTGTAGTGGTTCATGAAAAATAAAATAGTATTTGAATGAAAAAAAAAACTAAAATTCGTGACGACAATATAAATAATATTTAAAAGAAAATTATGTCACATAAAAATTACTATAATATCCTTGTAAAAGATTCAATTTAGTTTTATTGTGAAATTTTTTAATCTTCTCCAAAAAAATAAAAATCAAATAAACTAAACTAAATTAGTTAATGAAAGTTTGTTAATTAAATTTTTTATGCAATTTTTTCCACAATGACTTTTAAACTATTATTTTCAGAATTGTATTTGAACTTTCAATATATTTGATACAAGTATGTGACTATTTTTTTATTTGATTAATTGAAAATAATAATGGAAAATATTGAATAGACCATAAAAATAGAAAAGAAAAATATAATTTAAAATCACATTAAAATATAAATTATGTATCACGTGCATTCGCACGTGCTCTTTACTAGTATAAATAAATGTACATATCCAAACTACTATGCTAAAGAAGGTATTATATATTTAGGAGCAATTGAATAGTATATTGTTGACAGTGGTGATGGTATCATGGCATTCGGTACTTTTTTTTTTT